ACTTCTGAGGAAGTTCTTTGACATTGTTGTTCCTGAGAAGCTGGGATTAGGATGCAGAGTACTAATTCAAACTTTGGAAAAATAAAATTACCGATGCTGTAAGATTGATCTGGGCATTGCCACGTGAGGCTGGCTGATATGTCTCAGAATAACAGTCATTTGTGTACTGCAGGACACAGAGTAGCTCACTTTTGGCCAACCCAACACAATACATACAACTCACTGTGTGTGCTTCCACTCCTGGAGCAAAGGTTACTGGCTCATTTTGGGCTATTTGGAAGATATTAAGACATACTATTTGAAAACCAAAATGTTACTCTGAAGCTATAAATTTTTTTTGACAGGCAGAGTTAGACAGTCAGAGAGAGACAGAGAGAAAGGTCTTCTTTCCGTTGGTTCATCCCCCAAACGGCTGCCATGGCAGGCACACTGTGCCCATCTGAAGCCAGGAGCCAGGTGCTTCCTTCTGGCCTCCCATGCAGGTACAGGGCACAAGCACCTGGGCCATCCTTCACTGCCTTCCCGGGCCACAGCAGAGAGCTGGACTGGAAGAGGAGCAACCGGGACAGAATCCAGCTCCCCAACTTGGACTAGAACCCTGAGTGCTGGTGTCACAGTAGGAGGATTAGCCCAGTGAGCCATGGCACTAGCCTGAAGCTATAATGCTTAATCCAGTCACCTTGCCATGAGACCCCTCCAGGGCACATATATGTGAATAATTTTATGATATTGAACAGGCTGGATCTGAGCAATATCCCTTTAGCAGAGGGGGGAACACCCATTCCATGTCATAGAAAGCCCATGGGTCTGACCTCGCTAAGGCAACTGCAAATGGGACTTGAAATTCAATAAACCTGTAGCAGGCTAAATCTTTTTTAAAAAGATTCATTTATTTACTTATTTATTTGAGAAGCAGAGAGAGAGAGAGAGAGAGAGATCGTCCATCCATTGTTTCATTCTCTAAATGGCCACAGTGGCCGGAGCTGGGCCAATCCAAATCAGGAGCCAGGAACTTCTTCC